TTTACAGCAAACATGGGCTGGCATCTGCTCAGCTTCTGAGGAGGCCTTGGGAAGCCTATAGTCACGATGGAAGAAAGGGAGGGCAGGCACATCACATGGTGAACGCAGGAGCAAAAGAGAGAAAAACTGGGAGGGGAGGTGCCACACACTTTTAAATGACAGGTTTTGTGGTGAACTCAGAGTGAGCTCACTTAACACCAAAGAAATGGCCCAAGCGATTCATGAGGAATCCGTCCCCGTAATCCAAACACCCTCCACCAGGCCCCAGCTCCAGCACTGGGAATTACATTTCCACAAGAGATTTGGGCAGGGCTATCTATCCAAACGATATCAGGCCTTATATGTGTTGGACTTTACACTTTAGGCAATGGAAAGCCAATGAGAAGTTAAAAACAGGAATATAGTGTGATCAGACTCAAGTCTTGGAAAGCTCAGTCTTGGTGGAAGGTCAATAAGTCAGCCTCGTCCACGTGGTAGATGTTCCCCTGGGTGTGGAGCTTTGGACCCTGAGAGGAGTAGGATATGAGAAAAGAAGGACCAGTTCCAGCAACACCGTGGACAAGCTCAGTACCCTCCCCGCAACAAACATGTAGCAATGCTGCGTAAGGCATAAGAACCATGTTTCCCGGAATGAAAAGGAAGTCTTTGAGTGGCGGAAACAAAGAAGTGACCCAAAACCAGAGCAGCGAGCTTGTGAACTGACTTCCAAGGACATTTTAGACCTAGGCCTAAATCCTAATGGGTAGCAGCTGGGTTCCTAAGGCCTGTGCAGGGCTGGAGACAGGGCCCTGGGCCTGCATGAGGTGGGAACTGGAACTGTCACACCTACACAGAGCCAGGGCCCTGGAAAGGCTGCCCCCGTGGAAGGGAAGCCAAAATCTCACTGGGCCAGGAAACGAGCTTGGAAGTTTATTCCTGCTAGAGGCCCTGGGAGAAGGGAAAAATGTCTCAAGTGAAAAATCAGAATCCTATCAGTGCCTTGTGTAGGTATGGAGTCCAATATACACTACCTCTCATGGTCCAAGGATCCTAAGCTAAGATAGTAACATAAAAATCAAGTTGCAAACAAGTAAAATCCCTGGGGTACCCCACAGAAGCAAACATAAACCATTCTTTAAGGATGCTTCTTAATCTAAGGCATATAGAATTTCTGCAGGGAAAAGTGTTTCCTGAAGATGAGCTCACAATTAAAAAAACAAACAAATGAATGAACAAAACTGCAAACCAAATAAGGAACAGAGCCACCCTGAGAAACAGTCATCAGGTACAACCAATGGAAGCTAATAGCCCCAAAAACCTGAGATGATAGAATAGTACAAAGGAGACTGTTTAAAATGATGAAAGAGGTAAAAGAAGGAAAATAAATAGAAAACAGGATTATCTTTTTCTATGGGAATGAAATAGGAAAGAAAGCTAGTTCTAAATGAATTCATTCATTCATCTGTTCATTCATTTCAACCAGTCTTCTCGAGAGCACCTTGAATGTGCCAATCGTTGTCAAGGCACTGTCAATGACCAAATGTGGAGATGGTGTAAACAGTGCCCACCAAGAGGAGTCAGGGATGATTTTGAGGTTTGTGGCCTATGCAGATAAATGGATAGTAGTGCCACCTGCTGAGAAAATGGTTAATGACCAAGTATTTTGGGTAGTGGGTGAGGATGGGCAGTATCCATGAGCTTCGTCTTGGGCATGGTGAGTTTGCTGTGCCTTTGAGACATCCCAATGTACATGTCAAGGAAGCAGATGGGAAAATAGGTCTGGAACCCAGCAGAGCAGTCTCAGCTAAAGAGCTAAATCTGGGAGGCCTTGGTGGGGATGGTCTGAAGCTGTGGTCTTAGATAACACCAGATCCCCAAGGGAGAGTGTATACTCAAGGGTATCACTCAAATCAAGCATTCAATGGCTCGCTGTTTCATCCTGCTGAACCCTCAGCTGGAATTGCCCCAAAAGCAGTGGTAGGGGAATTCCCACAAAGGACTACCCCAGACAGTCCTGAGATAGGGTCGGTTGCCATTCCAAAGAAAGAAGTACTAAATGCCAGGGTGATCAGTCCAAAGCTTTTGTTGGGGAAACTTACTACAGAATGTTGAGCAATCCTCGTGATAGACAGCAAGAGAAAAGGGATGTTCTACCCAGACTTATTCGCAGCAATGGGGTCAGGGCATGGACTTTACGTAAGGGTTTAAGGAATCTGGCTCAGGGCTGTGGCCAGTTCCTTTCAATGTTTGGGGCAACACCTATTACCTTTATTGTACTTAGGAATGTTCAAGGCCCCAGTTTGAGGTCAAGCCTGCTGAGAAAAACCTGTAGCTGCGGGTCACAGAGTGGTCAAAGCAGTCTGCGATTTTCAGTCAGGACACAGAAAGAAAGTGGCAGGGTGGGAGTGGGGAGAACTGGAAGACCCTATGCTTGCTGATGTAAAGAATGCATCTGCAGAGGAGGCTCAGGAAAATACAGAGAAGTAGAGGAAATCCAGAAGGATGTGGCACCACAGAAACCAAGGACAGAATGCTTGAAAAAGCAAGAGGATGGTCAACAATGCCCAGTGCTGCTGGTTGGTCAGGAGCGGGAGGGTTAGATCAGCACTAGATGTGGCAGATTGATGCCCCTGGAGAGAGCTGTGTTGGTGAAGTAGTGAGGGCACATCCAGGTAGGGATGAGGTGAGGAGCAAATGGGGCAGGGCAAGGGGTGAAGAAGTGAAGAGAGCAATATAGACAACTTTTGGGAGTTTGACAGTGACAGGGAGGAGAGAGCTAGGACAGGAGATAGAGGGAAAATGGGAGAGTCTTGGGGTTGTTTGTTTTGTTTTTGTTTTTGTTTTGAGATGGAGTCTCACTCTGTCGCCAGACTGGAGTGCAATGGCTCAATCTCGGCTCACTGCAGCCTCCGCCTCCCAGGTTCAAGTGATTCTCTTGCCTCAGCCTCCCGAGTAGCTGGGATGACGGGCGTTGTGCCACCACACTGAGCTACTTTTTGTATTTTTAGTAGAGACAGGTTTTCACCATGTTGGTCAGGCTGGTCTCGATCTCTTGACCTCATGATCCGCCTGCCTTGACCTCCCAAAGTGCTAGGATTACAGGTGTGAGCCACCACGTTCGGCCTAGACTTGGGCTTTAAGAATAGCAAAGGGAGGGCTCATTTGAAAGAAAGAAGTTAAATATGTAGGAAAGAAAAAGAATCACGGATAGGGAGCTTCCTGAAAAGGGGGGGCGGGCAAAGCATAGGAGGACGGATTGGCTTCGGGTAGGTGGCAGGACCCTTCTCTACTGGGAGGGAAGTGTATAGGAATGAGAGAGTAGCAGACTTAATGAACTTCGGTAGAATTAAAAGTAATAAAATCATCTTCCTGTTAAATATGATATGAGTTAGCTTGCAAGAAATCAATGGGCAAAATTTACCAAGTTGTTTTTTTTTTAAAAAAAGTTAATTTAAAAATTCGCTGGACATGGTGGCTCACACCTGTAATCCCAGCATTTTGGGAGGCTGAGGACAGTAGATTGCTTGAGCCCAGGAGTTCAAGACCAGCCTGGGCAACATGATGAAACCCTGTCTACAAAAATACAAAAAACTAGCTGGATGTGGTGATACACGCTGGTATTAGGGAGGATCACTTGATCCTGGGAATTTGAGGCTGCAGTGTGCCATGATTGTGCCACTTCACTCCAGTCGGCAGAGTGAGGCCCTGTCCCCTGCACCCCCCCAAAAAATCCATGGTGCCTCGGAAACAAGGGAAGGGGCATCCTGGGTTGAGGCCCAGCCAAGGCCAAGGCTGGGAGGCAGGAGAAGGGAAGGAGAGTGATGCTGGGGCTGTGCCGCCAACCCTGCAGACATTGCCAACCGGGTGCTACTGTCCCTCTTCACTGTCGAGATGCTGATGAAGATGTATGGGCTGGGCCTGCGCCAGTACTTCATGTCCATCTTCAACCGCTTCGACTGCTTCGTGGTGTGCAGCGGCATCCTGGAGATCCTGCTGGTGGAGTCAGGCGCCATGACGCCCCTGGGCATCTCCGTGCTCCGCTGCATCCGCCTCCTGAGGATCTTCAAGATCACCAAGTGAGCGCTGGGGTTGGCTGGCACTCCCGGGTCCCCGGCGGGCACCACGGCCTGGTCTGGTCTACACCCACCTCATTTCTCGGGATCTGGAATATGTGTAGGTTCGTCAGTGGCCCCTTGCCTGGACTTCCCTCCCTCCTTGAAATAAGCTCCTTCTGTGAAAAAAGGAATCACTTCCCCACTTTGAATCCATTTCTCTGTTTTTTTCTTACCATAGTCTATGGCAGGGTAGGGAGAAGGGGTGGTGGGAAAGAGAAAGGAAGAAGAGAAAAGGAAAGATGGGAAGAGGGAAGGAGGACAGGAAGAGCTGTAGGGAAAGGGGTGAAAATAAGAAAGAAGGAGGAACACAGACAATCAGAGCCTTTGTGAGGTGGTGAAGGAAGAGGAGAGGGGTTCATCTGCTTGCACTATTTATCCATCACTTGCGTGATCTAGGTACTGTGCTAGACACAGGGCATCGAAGGTATGTGGGAGAAAAGCCGTCCTTACTCTCATGGGGTTTCTCGTCCAGTGACGGGACCTAAAGTTAATCAATAGTCATATTAACCAGTGTGAAATTACAGACAAGTGCTCCGCAGGAACACAGCGGGCATGCAGCCATGAATCCAGGGCCTTCCAGCCCCGAGGCAGCCCCTCTCCCTCTGTGTCACGTCAGTCCTGAGTCTTTCCCCCAAGCCTGTCCACACCTCGTGGGCCCCAGTGAGAGGGTCTATCTCCTCCCACCTTGCACCTCCTCCTCCTTCAGATACTGGACGTCGCTAAGCAACCTGGTGGCATCCCTGCTCAACTCCATCCGCTCCATCGCCTCCCTGCTGCTGCTGCTCTTCCTCTTCATCGTCATCTTCGCCCTCCTGGGCATGCAGCTCTTTGGGGGGAGGTATGACTTTGAGGACACAGAAGTACGGCGCAGCAACTTCGACAACTTTCCCCAAGCCCTCATCAGCGTCTTCCAGGTAGGCTGTCCCTCTGTGTGGCCATCCTTCTGCGCAGTTGCTGAATCCTGCTTCTCTTGTCCTTCAAGATCAAGGTGGGCATCACGTTCTCCAGGAAACCTTCTCGGATCTGCTGGTTGAGTGCAATGTCCTTCTCTGGGCTCCCCTAACACCTGTGCGTCTCTCCATTGTGACACTTGCTTATTTGTCTCCTTCACTGTAGCTGCACCCACTTTGTCTGATTAGTCTTTGTTTCTGGTGCCCAGCACAGTGCTGGCCTACTACAGGATAGTATGACTGGGTTAGGGATGGCCTGGGAGTCCAGATGCATGCTTTCTCTCCCATGTGCTACTCAGGTCTCAGGGCAAAGTCAGATAAGGGGAGCTTTTCCTCCCCAAGGCTGAGAAAGCCCCAGAGAAACACAAACCATTTCTCACTCTGCAGGCGCGGCACAGCCAGTTCACTATCAGCCACCCAACAGAGCATGGCTGTGGCCCAGTGAGAAGCTTTCAGGGCCCCTGGCCTCCTGGAGGAGTTTTCTTAGTGTAGACGTGGAAACATTCCTCTCTGGAGTGGCCCATATTTCATAAGTGACGCCTCCCTTTTGTACCAGTGAGAGATGCAGTGTGTGATCATCCATCGGTCCTGTGGATGGCTTTGCCCACTCTTTCTTCCATTAGCCCCACTGGCTGGTCAGGCCTTGGGCCTTTCAAGAAACTTGACATTTCACATGACTTCTAAGGCCAGAATAACAGGAGGCCTGGGTGGGTGCAGCACAGTGAAGCCCGGGGATTAGGAACAGAACAGGGAGGTGGCGAGCCCACAGTCCAATTCCTTGTCCGTAGAGAGCAGTGATAAGCTTCTATATCACTGGAATAGGGGTTTTGTTTTATTTTTTGAGATGGAGTCTCACTCTGTCACCCCGACTGGAGTGCAGTGGCACAGTCTCAGCTCACTGCAACCTCCACCTCCTGGGTTCAAGCGATTCTCCTACCTCAGCCTCCCAAATAGCTGGGATTACAGGTGTCCACCACCATGCCTGGCTAATTTTTGCATTTTTAGTAGCAATGGGGTCTCACCATGTTGGCCAAGCTGGTCTCGAACTCCTGACCTCAAATGATCCACCCACCTCGGCCTCCCAGAGTGATAAGTTACAGGCGTGAGCCACCGCACCCAACTGGAATAAGGGTTTTGGGGAGAGCAGGGGCTGGCCACCCGGACTGTGGAATGAAAAGAGGGAAGGTCTGAGAGAACCACAGAGTTGGAGGAGACCTTCGGTCTATGCGGTCCCGACAGAAGACTCTCAGGCCCCTCTGTGTTCCCGAGCCCTCGTTCCTCCCTCCACACAGGTCCTGACGGGTGAAGACTGGACTTCAATGATGTACAATGGGATCATGGCCTACGGTGGGCCGTCTTATCCTGGCATGCTTGTGTGCATTTACTTCATCATCCTTTTTGTCTGTGGCAACTGTATCCCCTTAGGAGCAGGGTGCAGAAAAGAGCTTAGGGAGGGGGTGGGGGAAAGGGCTTAAAATGGGAGTCAGGGGTGTCCAGTTTCTAGGTAGCTAGGCCCTCTGGCTGGAGGGGAGCTCCCAGGCCCATGGGGTAGGGGGGTAGGACATAACAAATGCAGGTATAGCTGTAGAATAATTCTTTCTGCCAAAAGATGAGAGACTTACAGGGGTGTTTGGCTACAGCTGGGAGGAATTAAAAGCCCAGTAAGGTCAGTGAGCCTAGAGCAGTGGGGAGGAAGGATAGAGCTTTGCTGAAGAGCATGAAGATGGTGGGACAGCCTGCTCCAAAGGTTCAGAGGCAGGCAGGGAGCCACCAGGACCCTGTGGCCGGGATGCTCAGCCTGAGCGCTGGGACCAGAAAGATGGAGCCAGGACAGGCCGAGAGATGAGAGGAGCAGATATGAGGGTGAGGTGGATGGGACTGGAGAGATACTGGCGGTTCCTGAGGCATCCTGGTGCCTGCACCATGGAATGTGATACTGTGGGGAGTTGGGGGGAAGGGCACCGTTGTTCCCCGACTCATGTGTGCCTCGCATGGGTCTCACTTGTTTTGCCTCACTGGCTCTCCACGCAGCTCAGTGTGGGATCTGGGACCAGTCTGGACAGGAAACGGATGGTTCAAGGTCACAGGGGATTCAGGCTCCTTCCTGAGTAATCTCCACAGGCAGGCCTCCCTGAGGGCCTTCCGCTATGTCCCTGGACCCACACCTTCCCATGGATAGCTCTGGGAGTAGGGTTAGGTGCTGCCCACATGCAGGCAGGCAGGATTCCTGCCCACAGGCTCCCTTCCACCTACAACCGAAGGCTCCTTAGCTAAACCCGCTCAGACATCCTGCTCAATGTCTTCCTGGCCATTGCCGTGGACAACCTGGCCGAGGCGGAGAGCCTGACTTCTGCCCAGAAAGCCAAGGCTGAGGAAAGAAAACGCAGGAAGATGTCCAAGTGAGTGCTTCCTTAGCAGGAAGGGACCTGGAGTGCTCAGCCGTGGCCATGGCCTTCCAGCCCTGAACAAACGATCAGGGTCCCTGACATGGTAACACCCACCTCAGTGGGCAAACTTCTGCAACCTGTGCATGGAGATGGCTGAGGTCCTTCCCTGTGGACAGGAACAGAGACATGTTGGCCTTCTGGACAGACAGGCCTCAGGATGCAGAATGCCAGAGCCTCAGAGCCCGGCCAGTTGAGCAGGGCTCCCCCGGGGAGGGATCCTGGGAATTCCCTTCCCAACCCTGTTACTGAGTCGCCATGCTTCTGGGAGAGAGGTGTTGCCCTTTGCTGAGCCTCAGGCATCCTCTCTTCTGTGAAGTGGGCATTGGCTTCTCAGGTTCTTCACAATTCTCTCCATCTGTGACTTTGTCAGTGAATTCTTTGTAGCCTGGGACCCTCCTCTGGGAGTGGAAGCAGACTGGTGTTCTAGACAGTGTTTCTCAAACTCTAACTGCAAAAAAAATCACCTAGGGATCTTGTTGAAATGCTGATTCTGTTGCAGCTGGTCCAAATCAGATAGGGCAGGGTCGTAGTTCTACATCGAACAGGCTTCCAGGTGGTGCCCATGCTGCTGGTTGGAGGATTATGCTTTGAGTACCTAGGTTCTAGACAGAGTCCTGCTTCTTCCAATGCCCATGCCTACAGGAATGGGACACCCGTTCCTGTGGAGGCAAGATGGAAAAAGAGGGACCAGCAATGGAGTTCAGACATTTCTAAAGAGTTGGAGCCATCTTGGGCAAACCACTCTGGGCTTCCACTCTGTGAATGTTTATGAGATGTTTGTGAGCCCAAACCACATCTTGGGCTTCCACTCTGTGAATCTTGTATAAACACAGTACAAAGCCACATTCCACCCATTCACTATCAACCAACATTAAACATGGCTGACCAGTGAGCCACAGGTAGCCATGGGCCCATGCTGTGTGTCGGGCCCACTCACCATAGAGAAAGGAGTTGCCTGAGCCCACTGCACTTCCCATCTGGGGGCTGATGCCACTCCTCCTACAGATCCCAGCCCTTGGTGTGGGATCCTCCTGAGGGTGTTGTCAGGCTAGCAGACCCCTGAGGACTTTCTGGTTTGGCTTCCACTTTGGGTTTTCTAACTCAGGGGTCTCCCAGACAAGTCAGAGGAGGAGAAGTCCATGATGGCCAAGAAGCTGGAGCAGAAACCCAAGGGTGAAGGCATCCCCACCACTGCCAAGGTGAGCACCTCGTGGGGATGTTAGAGGCAGGCTGGGGGCTCTTCCAGTCCCATGGTTCCCCTCGTACCACAGAGTACAGGTGGGATAGGTTGGGGAGGTGGGAGAGTTATCAGCCAGGTGAAGGCATCTCCCTGTGTCTGACTGGAGGGAGAGCCAACGAAGCCATCTCCAGGGACTCCCGCACTGAGAAGCACAGACTTCCCAATCTGAGAACCAGACTTCCCCAGAGTAGCAGCTTCCCACGCCAGACCAAGGAGGTACCTCCTCTCCTTAACACCCACTGTTCCACTGAGAGCCCCAGACCGGCTTCCACCACTGCTAGCCCCACCCTGCTTGTTCCCATCTGGCTCTGCTCACCATTCCTGAAAACTGAGGAACTGGAGTTCAAAAAGTCAGGGAACCGGGCCCAGAGGGGCTGGAGGTCCTGGCCTGGGAAACTCAACTCTCTTCTGGAGAACCAAGCAGTGGGTGTGTGAAGATAGAGTCAGACAGGCTAGGGCGGGCTCAGGCCTTGCCCTGTGGGAACTTGTGCAGATTGTCTGGCCTTGCTGGGCCTGGCCTCTCATTTGTAAAATGGGGGCGATCATAATATTCCCTGTCCCTTAGCCTGTAGGGATGATTAAGTGAGCTGAACGCTAACAGGCTCTCCAGTATATGCTCACTGAGGGGAAACCGCAACTTCTTTTTCATTGTTATAGTCCTTGTGTTCCTTCCTACAGCTGAAAATTGATGAGTTTGAATCTAATGTCAATGAGGTGAAGGATCCCTATCCCTCAGCTGACTTCCCAGGTGAGGATGCTGGAGACTGGACTGGAGCAGGGTGCTGGGGTAAAGTAGGGGTGTGCCGGTCCCTAATTGTCCCCGTGGGCAGTCTCTTGTGTGTCCCTACCTGGACCCCTCCATGTGGAGATCAGAACACTGGAGACATCCCTTCTGTGCAAATAAGCCATCTGCCAGCTTGTCTCTCCCAACAATGCACACAACAGAAAAACCCATACATTTTATTTTCATGTAACTCAGCAAGTATTTATTGAGTGCCATGGGTACTCAATAACTCATGTTATTTCATGTAACTCAGCAAGTATTTATTGAGTGTGTGGGTATACAAGTCTTGCCTGCCAGTCATGCAGTCATGGATCATACATGAGGATACACCTATCTATGTAGTAATGAGGCAGATTACTCACTATCCAGTGTCCAGTAGGACTGGGGGCCGGAAGGATACAGGGATGAATAGAACCATGACAGGCAGTGTGGGTAAGTTCAAGAGGAGGAGACAATGGTGGGGTAGGGGGACCATGGATAAGAAACAACCGTGGATAAACCACAAACATCTCATAAATGCAAATAGCCAGTGACTGCCGCAGAAATTCCATTTATCTGGACCAAGAAGAGGACAAGCAGAACCAGGCTGGATTAATCTTACCAGGCCACCTGGCAGAGCCCTGGGGTCCAAGAACTCTCTGAGTCCTGGGTCCTTTGGATCACCAGGTCAGTGGGTCCATTTTAGGTCTACTTGTCCCATCAGCTGATCAGCTACTTTTATGTCTACTTATGGAATCAGCTGATTAACATCTGTTTGCTCCGGTGACTCTAAGCTCCAGGTGGACTTTTGTGTTCCACACAGCACAGTGTTTGGCTCAGAGGAGGCCTCAATAAATTGAATTAATGAATGAATGCATGAAAGAAGTTTGCAAAGTGAAGTATGGGGAGAACGGAGCTGGTACAAGTAAGACTAATGAAATTTCTTCAAATATCCACCAGGAATGAATATTTGTGTTTTAGAATAACTCATTTTGAGTTGTTTCATCTAACAGTTACCACCTATTAGATGGGAGTGACTAGTGTGCAGGTGAGATGGTGGCTGATAGGAAATCTGAGGTCAGGGAAAGGGAAGGGGCTGCAAAGAAATGAGGAAGGGAGGGGTAGAGGGGGTGTGGGCTGGGCAGCAGGAAGAGTGTCTTACCAAGGGGACTGAATGTGTTTATATCCTGCTTCTTTCTAAAAGTAGTTTGAAATGGCTTACAGCAAAAGATATGTGCAACGAAATTAAACTGGACATAGGCAGAGGAAGTAAGAAGGTGGGGGAAGGATGCAAATACGCTAACTCTAAGAATTAACGGTCTCTGCGATTAAGCATGAAATGTGTCTCTGGGGTCTGTGGCAGGCTGGGCAAGACAGGAACTGTCAAGTTAGGCCACTCATTCTGAGGAATAAGAGTTTTAGCTTCTCGGGGGAACAGAAAAATTGGAATGTGACTTGGTGGGTTTGAGAACCCCTACAGGTGGCCATGATGGAGACAGTAGAATCCAGTAGCTCTTGGCTTCCCTCAAGGCCTCTGCCAGGGGCCAATAGGGGTAGGGAAGAGGTAGCTGTCAGGGGAGGGAACCAAGAGAAACCCCAGCTTTGTAGTCCCCCCACCGTCTGATCACAGGATTCTCCCACCCTGGGAGCTGAGGATTTCAGGTACTCAACTTCCTCACATGGTCATGAGACCCAGTGAATGTGCTTAGAATGTCTGTCTCTTCCTCTATCCCCTGCTCCCATCCCCTGTACCTGGTGTGGTCCTGGGGACTGGGTGAAGCTCAAGAAATTCTGATTGCTTTTTTCCATGCTGGAAGCTTCTCTGTGAAGTTACTGTTTTTAAAATCCTAGTCCAGGAGAGGATCACAGAGTCCTTTTATTTCAACAACCCTCCTGCCCCTTGTCGGTTTCACAAACTGGAAAGCTGATGCTGACGAAGGGCACAGACCTTCCCAGCACTGCACAGCAAGTTAGACGCAGAGCCGGAACTAGGACCCAGGTCTCCTCTTCTGAAGCAGGGTTCCCCACTCCATCCCCCAGCCTATGGATATTTGAGGCGGTGTGGACTGAGCCTTGAGACACAAGATGCAGCCACAGAGTTACTTGGGCTTGCTCCTAGCCCCACTTCTGGAAGGTTGTGAGCCTCCCTTACCTACCCTTGACAGCTCAAATCTGCTCACTGTGAAGAAAAGGAGATGCCCAGGCTGAACTCTGCCAAAGCCCTAGGGTCCCAAGTCAGCCCGGTACCACCGTGCTTACCAGCTGCAGGGGCTCCTAGGAGGGCTCTGAGCACAGAAGCCACGGGCATAGCAAAGCATGGGAAGACACCCCTAATTCCTCCTTCTCTCCCCACAGGGGATGACGAGGAAGATGAGCCCGAGATCCCACTGAGCCCCCGACCACGCCCCCTGGCTGAGCTGCAGCTGAAAGAGAAGGCCGTGCCCATTCCAGAAGCCAGTTCCTTCTTCATTTTCAGCCCCACCAATAAGTAGGTGCCCCTTGGCTGCTGTGGGGGTGATTGAGGAGGCTCTCATCTGCTTCCCTGCCCTAGTAAAACCCCCATCTGACTCTCCATGCCTACAGTTATACTATGAGAAACTCAGTGTTTTAGCTTAAAGTCTTGGGCCCTGTTTAAAATGCTAGTATATCTGGGAAAAGTAATGCTTTAAACCTTATCAGTTATTTACACCTAAGAGGGACCTGTTTATTGATTCCTTTCTGAGAGAATAGCTTTAGACAGGACAAGGGGGAGAGAGCAAGGGAAGCTATAGTTTCTATGGGCTTCATTCTTTTACACCTTTAAACTATACACAGGTCATAGTCTCTATGTTTCATCTGTCTGCCTCATGGCTAGAGACCAGCCTGTCCCATTTTCATCTGATGGGAAACCTCAGGGTGGTGCCATAATCGCAGGAAGGGGCAGGTGGTGGGAGGGGCTTGGCTGGGAGGCAGAACTAAGGCTTTAGAAACAGAATGAGGGGTTAGGGCTCCCTGTGTGTCCAGCCAGAGGACGCCGCAGGTGCAGGGCTGCACTTCTCTACTGGCCGGGGAGGAGCAGGAGGTGTATCCCGTGTCCCTCCACAGGATGGAGGCTGATGAGGCCAGAGCCTCCGGCAGCTCACAGCTCCCCTGCCCTCCCTACCTCGCCCCACCAGGATCCGTGTCCTGTGTCACCGCATCGTCAATGCCACCTGGTTCACCAACTTCATCCTGCTCTTTATCCTGCTCAGCAGCGCTGCACTGGCTGCGGAAGACCCCATCCGGGCTGATTCCATGAGGAATCAGGTGATGGGCCTCACCCTCTCTGCTGCTCAGCACCCCTGCCCCCTCCAGCCTCAGCCTGGTGCCCAGGGTTCAGCTGTATCCTCTATGTGGCGACAGGCATCAGAGTTTCTTAGAGTTTAATTTCTCAGGGCTAGGACTGCCCACTCCACTCCTTCTGAACGGCACAGGCTGGGGCACAGACTGGCTCTGACTGCCTGCTTTAGTGTTGCTGCTGATGATGATACTTTTGCCCCTTCCTCCTCTCACTGGCTGCTCCCTTCCCTGCCCTGTCCCTAGATCCTTAAACACTTTGACATCGGGTTCACCTCTGTCTTCACTGTGGAGATTGTCCTCAAGGTGAGTGAGGCTGTGGGGCAGCCCTGGGGAGGGAGTTTCCCTGATGTGGTTCCAGCTTACACACACCGAACTCAGGGGCTGGAGAGAAGTGGAAAAGAGGTGGAGAGTGGCAGGAAAGACTCACGGGACCCAGCACACCGGGCAGACCCACAAGTGTCTGGGTGGTGGGCTGGAGAGTGAAGCCCAGCCAGCCTGTGGCTCCCCTATCCACAGAGTGTAGCCCATGTCTTGAAGCCTCAGGCATTTTTCTTTTTAGACGTAGTCTCGCTCTGTCACCAGGCTGGAGTGCAGTGGCGCTATCTCAGCTCACTGCAACCTCCGTCTCCTGGGTTCAAGCAATTCTCCTGCCTCAGCCTCTCAAGTAGCTGGGACTACAGGCGCATGCCACCACATCCAGCTAATTTTTTGTATTTTTAGCAGAGACAGGGTTTCACCACGTTGGCCAGGACAGTCTTGATATCCTGACCTTGTGATTTGCCCGCCTCAGCCTCCCAAAGTGCTGGGATTACAGGCGTGAGCCACCACGCCCGAAGAAAAACTCTAGCATTTTTCTTCCATACAGTTAGCTTAAAAGCAGACCTGGTGGCCGGGCGCAGTGACTCACGCCTGTAATCCCAGCACTTTGGGAGGCCAAAGTGGGCGGATCACCTGAGGTCAAGAGTTTGAGACCAACCTGGCCAACATGGCGAAACCCCGTCTCTACTAAAAGTACAAAAATTAGCCAGGCGTGGTAGCGGGTGCCTGTAATTCAACTACTCGGGAGGCTGAGGCAGGAGAATCACTCGAACCCCGGGAGGCGGAGGTTGCAATGAGCTGAGATCGTGCCACTGCACTCCAGCCTGGGTGACGAGAGAGACTCCATCTCAAAAAA